AACCTAAACAATATCAATTTAAAAGGAAACTATATAAGGATTCTGTAAACAGTTGCAGAAACTCTCTTAACACAAAAGATAAAAGCAGTTTGGATAAGCTTTTATTAATATATTCTAATGTAAGTTTACTGAACTGAAAAATCAAACTGCAACATTTCATTGAAGTGCAACTTTGTAATAAAATCAACACAGGCATTGACTTTACAAATAACTCTTTTGAAATGAAGTTATTAATGTTAATAGATATGGATAACTTTGTTAAAAATCTATTTATTTAATAAATACTTAATCAACTAAGTTTAATTCACAATCTTACTGGTAATGGTGTACACCACAAATACAACCTGAACAATATTATAACAACTTTCTTAAAAAAAAAAAAGGACAAGCAGAAAGAATAGAGCCAGCAACTACGTTATCAAATATACCACCAAAACACACACTGATGGAAAATAAAGGACACAATCATGCCACAAAATGTCTGTCCTTACAAATAGTAAACATTCTGCAAAACACATAACCACCAGCTGAACCAGATATAACTATAGTTACCACTACAATAATTAATGAAACAAAAATCAAGTATTCAAGTACGAAATAATCAATGGTCTCTTGCCATCAAAGAAAAAAGAAAACCTGTCCTCAAGTTTAAAGATGTTGAATCATACTTTGTAATGGTTTGTCATTGGGAGGTTCTTTTTTGACAACACTATAACAGATTAACTATTTATTAAACGATCAAACCACTTGAAATGACATTATAAAATGGAGGCAACCTAGGCCTGTACAAAAAATTATGCAGAAAAAGGCAAGGGAAATATGAAAATCAAGAAAGAGATCATATTTTCTCAGTGTGTTATGATTTATAGCAAGAAAAAAGCTGTTGCTTAGTGTAAGCAGAAAAATTCTAAAAAAAATAAACAAGTGCACTGCTTACACTGATTTCCTCAAAAAGAATTAGCTAGGTCCACTTTATAATGAAAGGATCGAGCAGGAAAATTCATGAAGTAGTCTGACTTTAACTAACCTGACTGAGCTTTAAAGCTAAGCAAAATGATATGAAACTGGACGTGATGTGCAAAGCCAAATGTGAACCTTTATTTATCAACAGACAAAATATACAGTGTACATACTTCTGTATGGCATAGGTCAGTTGTTTTCTGCTGGATTTGTGAATTGATCAAAAGATTTCCTCTGTATAAATTCCTGCCAACCAACTCACTTTAGAGACCTGGTAAAACTGTGTGAATCCAAATTTAAATATTTATCAAGCCTTCCATTAAACTAAGTTAAATTTACAGCTTCTTCCACATCTAAGGGTTACCCATTCTAAAAGCCAACTACCCTGTTATAAAAAAAAACTGTCTCAGCTGGAGAAGACACTTAACATTTTTAACATTCTCACCATTAAGTACTGTTACGACAGTAGAAGTCACGCGACGCTGGAAGCATGCGCTGGAGTTCTAGAAAGATCGAGGAACCTGTCGAACGTCCTAGCGTTTGCTAGACTTGCGCTTTTATAGTATATAAGCCGGCAAATAAAGTGATGACAATAACTGAATTGCAGACAGAGAGATATAGAGTCAAGCCATAAGTAAAGTGCGTGAATTGTTGTGAATTCTAGCGTGTGTTTAAGCTAAAGTGACAGTTGAAATTAAGTGTACTGCTAAGTTGAATTGAGATAGAAGAAACTAGTTTTATTTAAGAAAGGACTTGTATCGCTGAAGTTCTTCGGAAAGAATTTCTTCGGAAAATTAACAAACGAACACAGAGATGTAACAGTACAATAAAAAGATGAGGTATTAACACTATCAATTCCCTTAACAATCTCAAACCTTAATCAGATACCTTCTAGCTTTTCTTTCTTCAACAGAAGACAATTTATGAGATCTTAACCTGTCCTCCTACAGCAACCTTTCCATCCCACATATCATCCTACAGCCTTCCTCTGAACCCTCTCCAATAATTAAATGACCTTCCTAAGATAAGGAGCCCAGGATACACAATACTACAAATGTGGTCTAACCAACATCCTATAAAATGAAATTATAAGATGTGTTTTCAATATTTCTGTAGATACAACCTAAAATCCTATTTGCCATACCACATGCAACAGCACACTGCTTGGATGGCTTAAAAGACCCATCATCCAGAATTCAAGATCCTTTTCTTCCTTAAGACTATTAAAATTATTCCCATAAAAAAATATACTTATAATACAAATTATAACCCACATTCACTATATTGCATTTATTGTAATTACAAGTCATCTGCCATTTATTTGCCCAACTTATCAAATTATTTAAATCCTTTTGTAAAGCGGTAGCATCCTCCTCATAGCCAGCAACATCCAATATGTTAAAAATCATTAGCAAATTTAAATAACTTCAACCATTTCTTCATCTATGTTATTGATGTAAATAAATCAAAAAGAATAAAGATCTTAACACTGAGCCCTGAGGATTCCCACATGTAACATTAATCCACTTTTATTGAATGCCATTTACAACCACCCCCTGCATTCTTCAATCTAGCCAGTTTTCTATCCAATGAGCCATCCTGTATCCCACAGCCATAGAGATAACTTTTTTAATAAGTCTTTTATATGGCACTCCCATAAAATCCTTTCTTAAAATACAGATATACCAAATCCTTACCCTCATCTACATAATCTGTAACCTCTTCAAAGAGTGTCAAAAGGTCAGTGAGACAATTTTTGTTCCTAGATGAAACCATACTTTGTTAAACTTTGTTAAATGACTTTACAAAGCATCTTTTATCACTTTCAAAAACTCTTCCCACTACTGATGTAAGACTAATAGGCCTATAAGTACCATGACAATTTTTTATCAGCTCCTTGAAAAAACGAGCAAGATTAGCCAATTTCCAATCCTCTGGCACCTGCACACTTTTCATGTACATACACAGAAGTAGTAGCAAATGATTCATAAATCCAATCCTTAAATTCCTTCAAAACCCATGGGAAAATATTATTTGACCCAAGAGCCTTATCATTTATTAAACTGTCTACTCAAAATCATCAAGCAAGAGCTTTACTTTATTATCCCTCAAAGGCTCTACTCCCATCCTAACATTTTGCTTACTCTTAATGTATTTAAAGAAATTCTTACTGTTAAATTTATATTTACAGCCCACTTTTTTTTCATATACCCTTTTTGATTTCCCATTTGACCAACTTTTCTGATCTTTTATAAACTTCTAAGTTGTCCATTACAGCAAATAATATTAAAATTTGATTTCTTAACAACATTTTGATACCAGGTTTATTCATAAATATTGATAATACAGTAGTTTAAACTAATCAAAATTTGAATGTACCTGTAGCAAGAGGGTTATCTCATAATTATTATTATAGGCATTACTATAGTAATAAATACATTCCAGAATATGGAATTGAAGAGTGGAGAAAATATTCATTTATATTATTTGATTTTATTTGTACATGCACAGAAAGCATAAAACTAAGTCAAAGTATGCATGCCTTCTGCTTTTCAACTACCAGACTACCATATTTTTAAAATATAACATAACACCGACAAACTAACTTCTGAAATTGAGACTTAAAATACAGTAAAATTGGTATCACTATAACAGTCATCTTGATTAACAAACTGTGAAGGAAAAGTTGATTTATATTTATCAGTATCAGTAGTTGTACGGAAATATACAGTATAACATTGATTATTAGACTTAAGAAAAAAAGTAAGAATAGAATTTGACAAAAAAACTTTTTATATATAATTTTTTTCAATAAAAACAAGGTTCAAGTTATATCAACATAGGCCTAAATAAGCATTTGAAATAACATATGTCAAAGCTTTATTGTAAGAAATTACATTTTGATTTCAATATTTACTATTTGGTGCTTGAAAATACTATCAGGTTTTAGGATTTCTGTGTACTTTGTTTGTGGTTTTCTTTATTCATTTTCTTTCTCTTTGTTTTGCATGTAGTTCAAAGAATATTCACTTGGTTAGAGTTATAAGGGAATAAAGCTGGGCAATTACTAGAACTTACTAATTGATTAATTGTTGGGCTCATTAATTGATTATTCTCACATGAAGTACCTAAAAAATCCATTATCTTTAGATAAGATAACTAAAAAAAAGGCAAACTTTCAGTACATGTTTTAAAAGATAGCCTGAACATTTACTACTTGGTAAATCACTAGTGTTGAAGTGATTATGAGGTCACCATTTGGTTTGTTTTTAAAATATGCAGTAATCTCCCATTGATCTGTGAAAATAAAAAATATAATAATCAAATAATGGAAACATAACTTACTGTCACTGATAATGGTAATACTGTTTTTATTTAAAACATATCACAAATGCAATTACAAATCACTAGGTAGCCAGTTAGTCAATTTATTTATACACATTCTTTGAAGAGGATATATATTGAAAATTCAAAATATTGATGAATGATAAACCAGTCAAGTCAATAGGTACCAAATACTTGATATTGGATTACTGTAATGGATTAATAAGAACATATGAAAAATTGGTTTGGATGATCAAACTTAATTGTGATTGATTGTTTCAAATAAATAAAAAAGTGGTGGTCCACTATTTTTCATAGTATTAAATTTTCAGGTGATTGCTGCCAATATGGAAGAAAATGTTTTTTCTTTTATTCATTTTGCAGATACAATAATATATTCAAACTGCTAGAAGAAAAACTACATGGAATAATTTGTATTAGATCGATTTAAAAAATATGATTGATTTCCATCTGAAGTTTTAGAGAAACTTGGGTAGGCATGAAACATTTATTTTTTATATTTTAATTATCATGGTTTTAAAATGGTGGATTACATGACGAAATGAATACTGAGCAATAAAATATAGTTACTAAACATAAACAACAACGTTAGCAGACAGCAAACCAGAGGTGGGCAGGGATGAAGAACATCAAATATTTTATACATTGTTGGCTCTAGACAAGTCAAGTTCCCAAAGGTTTGAGTAAAAACTTACCTACTCTTCTTCTTCACTACTTTACCACTAATTTCGCCGTTATCATAAACGAGGCGGAAAAGGTTTATTAGGGTAACGTCTAGGGTCATATGTTTATCTAAAGTAATAATGTTAAATCCATTCATTGAAACTGACAGAATAATTCAATAGCCAACATCCAAAAAGTAAAATAAATCCTCTCTATATCAAAAAGGAGTTGAAAGGAACTTTTTTAGAGTGCAGACGAAAGAATGTCAAGTTCTCAGAATTTTGTTTTTACATTTACTTTTAGTTATGATACAATTAATATACTTCTTATTTTATAGTATAGTACAAGTTATAAACGCCCTCTATTTTTGTATTTAACCTCGGTAAATAAAGCGGAAAGAATAATATCAGACAGGGAGACATAGAGACAGATAATGGAGTCAAGTCGTATGTAAAGTACGTGAATGTTGTGAATTATAGTGTGTTCAAGTTAAAGTGACTGTGGTAATTAAGTGTATTGCGTAGTTGTATTGAGAAAGAATAAACTAGTTTTATTTAAGAAAGGACTTGTATCTCTGAACTTCTTCCAAAATAATTTTTACGGGAAATTAACAAACGACCAGAGACGTAACAAATTGGTGTCAGAGAGTGGGAGGAATAAAAAAAAGATGGAAACGAGAGGTGGCAAATCAAACTACAGGTTAGCAGATTAGATGGCAGCAATACAAAAACAGCAAAAGAAAAAAGAAGAACAAGATAATAAACAAGGATAGAGATTACAGCAGTTGTTGAAGGAAAAAGAAAAGAAAACAGAAGAACCAGAAAAGAAACAAGAAGACAGACAACAGCAGTTGTCGAAGTATAAAGAAAGTGGCAGCTCGAACAGCAAAATAAACAAGAGAGATTACAGCAGTTGTTAGAGGAAAAAGAAAAGAAACAAGAAGAACGAGATAAGAAACAAGAAGAGAGATTACAGCAGTTGTTGAAGGATAAAGAAAATAAACAAGAGAGATTACAGCAATTGTTAGAGGAAAAAGAAAAGAAACAAGAAGAACGAGATAAGAAACAAGAAGAGAGATTACAGCAGTTGTTGAAGGATAAAGAAAAGAAACAAGAAGAGAGATTACAGCAGTTGTTGGAGGAAAAAGAAATGAAACAAAAATAAAGAGAAAATAAACAAGAAGAGAGACTACAGCAGAGGTTGGAGGAGAAAGAAAATAAACAAGAAGAGAGACTACAGCAGTGGCAACTGGAACAAGAAAGGAAACAGGAAGAAAGTCTCCAACAGTTGCGAGAAAGTCAGCAGCAACTACAGGAAAGTCAAAAACGGTGGCAAAAAAGAACAAATGGAAAACATCAGTAAATTAAAAAGTGAATTAAATGCATTAAAGCATGATTTAATGTATTTTACACAAGGAAGATATATTAGCCATCGACCTAACCAGCCTCAGACAATTGGAAGCCCCTTCCAGACTCTGCAGCTAAACGCTAATGCAGACATCTTCAGTCATGTTAGAAGTCACATCCCAGATATGAATGTCAGCAATAGGAGTGATCCAGTGCAAAGGAAGCCACAGGAATTCGATGAGAAGGCACCGTTGGAAGCATATAGAGCACAATTTGAGCTCCTGGCAGAAACGAATGGATGGAAAGAGGAGCAGAAAGCAGAGTACCTTGCAACAAGCCTGAAGGGTCAACCACTGAAAATACTTGGACAGTTGTCAGCAGACGACAGACACAACTATAGAGCACTGGTAGCTGCTCTAGAGCTCAGGTATGGAACTCAAAATCAGTCTGAAGTCTACATGGCTAGGTTTAGGATGAGAGTCCGTGCTATTGGGGAGAGCCTGCATGAGCTGGCACAGGATTTGGAAAGTATGGCACACAAGGCCTACCCAACTGCGCCACCCGATGTTCTCAAGTTGTTGCTGAGGTATCAGTTTGTAGACGCCTCGGACAGTCCACAACTGAAGATACAAGTAAAGCAAGCACACCCCTCTACTATGCAGGATGCAATGGCCAGAGCTCTTCAATTCGAATCCTACATTAAGTCCAGCACAGAGGTACCAAGGCTGGTAAAGTCATCAGGATTCAAGGACAGAAAAAGTCGGCTTTCAGAGAGGTTTGAGGGACTTTGCTGGCACTGTAACAAACCAGGGGCACAAGAAAGCTCAATGTTGGAAACTTCAACACAGTGAAGATGCCATGGCAGGAAAGGCTGCTACCCAGAAAGGTTGTTGGAACAGTGGAGAGCAAAGACATAAGAGGAGCCAGTGTAAGAAGAATACTACCAGTAAGTCAGCTTCGGGAAACCAGTAGTTGTTGGTGCTGAGGGACACCCACCAACCCCCATTGTGAAAGTCCCAACAGCTAAATGTAAAATAGCAAGCACACATCGTGTCTACGTGACAGGAAAGCTGGATGGCCAAAGAT